GGTGCAAAGAGGTCGATGTCACGAAAACTTGTTCATTGAAGTGATGTCACACAGATAACACCGGAGCGCCGACCGAATTAGACCGAATATACCTTTCGCCATACTACCAGAGCCGTGTATACAGAGGGTTTGGTCAATAGGAGGCGCGGGCAGAGCCAAGGCGCGCACCAGACGCAGAAAGTGGGCTAGACATGCACCCTTGGCTAACCAGAAGCCTAAAAGAATATCTAGCGGCGGTAGCAAGTAACGTTTTTGGTCCAAGGTATATGTTGGAATATGGTTTTAATTAGCGCGTAAGAGTGAAGTGTAGTAACCCTTTATGGTTGAAAACAAGGTGCACGTGATGTTTAGATCATGATCACGCAGAAAGACGTGAGAAACGAACGGGCCGCTCAACTCTGTTTTGCTCGGGCAGAGTGTGACCGCTCGGACGGCAGGTTCCCGGCCCTCGGCGCTTGGCATACGGATTATATCGATCGTTTCGCTAGTCACACTCTTGCACCATGATTTTGGATGACCATGATTGAAACATCACGTGCACACTATTTTCAGTCACCGAGAGTTACTCCGACGCACTTATCAGGTTTGTTTCTCGCGACCACCGCCAGGGTATTATTTCCGGCATCAGGTTGGCCACATTCGAATTTGTGAAGACGCCCTGGAACACGCCCAGCCCGCTTTTGACCAATGGCGCCTCCTCATTTGTCTCCTATTAGCGGTGAGATGTTCTGGTGGCGCACTCTTACGGTTCCCTCTCGTGACGTCATCACCTTATGAACATGACGTTCGGTGGTGTTTCTAGTTAGCATGTTGGAAGCTTGAAATCATTGCACTCTGAAACCAACGTTGCGAACACCGCCAAAATTGAAGTTCTTTCATTACTCTTATTTCCGTCCAAGAGAAATCCTTTGCTGACGTCAAAGTCAGCATTCGGCCAATCGTGGAAGACCGATCACAGCGACGTTTTCGATCGCGCACGTCACCAATACTTCCCAACGAATGGCCAAACTCTTTACATGGGGGGGTGGGGGGGGGGGGGGGGGGGGGTTGTCGCCTTTTTTACCATCCTCATTGTGTGTAAAATGCAAAGCAGCCGCTGCGACGAGGAAAGGTCGTGCTTTGATGTTTTCATTTGTGTCAACAGAAGGAAGTCGGTAATCACTGGCAGCTGAAGACAGGTCGAACGCATTTTCCCATGATTATTACGCACCCTACGTTCATAACGCAGTCTAACTCGATAATAACAAATTAAAAATCAAGAAAAAACCAAGTGTTAAAAACGAGCAAGAATGGAACCCCCCTCTCGAAAAAAGAAAGCCGTAAAAGAATATTTGAAGGAGAAGGAAAATGGTTGAAGGAAATGAAAATCTCCGAAGAGAAAAGAGAGGGAAATGAAATGCACAAATTATATGTTTGGAAATGCATTAATTGTATGTTTGAAAATTAGCCTTTAATCGTATTTTCCAAACATGAATTTTACATACCTTATTTGCATCTCTCTTCCTTTCTGACATTTCCCTTTTCTTCAATAACTTTTTCTCTCCTTCCAAGATTTGCGGACGTCTTTGAGCGGGCGGTTCTGTTTCATTCTTGTTCGTTGCTAGTTGAAAAATGTCGTGTTCTGAGCTACTTCCTATAAGTTTATTATTTTCTCTGTAGACGAGTTAACGTACACCGTCACCACACCTGGCTTGCATTGGCGCCACATCAGCTTTAATTGTGATGGCCTTGGTGCTGAGCGCTTACCTTCTGCAACGTACTTTTTGGGTCATGGCGTTTCCCTTCAAGAATTAAGTCAAAGTTGCCACGACCATGTTGCAATGTCGTAAGGTGCAAGCCATGTGCCATAAGCAACGCTTTGCTGTCCTTACCCTCCCCATGACCGCAGAGGCCAGTGTGGTGCGTCCTTCGTTGAACGAGTGAATCCGGTCAGTTGCCTCTTGGCACCAAAAAGTGGCTTTATTCACATTTAAAAAAAGAAAACAGGCCCATAAAGACAGTCGAAAATCACAGCGTATGGACGAGAAGAACATCGTTATAACGGGGCAAGAGAAACTTGCGGGTGTGGAGAGAGGTTGCATGGCACGAGCGAAGACCTGCCTCCTTGGCGGAGGCCTCGCGAACATGGCCGGGGAATCCCCTCCCCCCTCGACCAACTTCTGCGACACACTCACTTGCTCCGCTTACTTGTGGAGACGATAAACGTGCTTCGGTGAAATCAAAACAAAAACAATTAAATGAACACAAACGTGGACAACGATGGAAGAAAGAGCCTCCCTCAGGCAGTACAGGTGGTACTCACTGGACTCCATCCTGGAGCGAATTTTGACCAGCGCTTGCTCAGAACGTGCTCCAAGTTATCGTCTGCCAATCTTGGCGGTTTCGGAATGTACACAGCAAAGTGCTGTGGCACGTCATTTTCGGCACGCACTAGAACCACTAACGGACGCTTACAGGATCGGCGCTTTATTCTCTGATCTTGTTCTGCGCGACGCTATTTTGGTATTCGCACACTGTACCAGAAAGCTCGGGAAATATTGCTTCGCTCCGCCGCGGACTCTTCTAATATTTTTGGAAGACAAAAAGACTTCCTTGCGATTTTCAATAAAAGGTTACTAAAGCTGGCAACAATAATTTTAAGCACCAAGATGGCGCGAGTGACGTCACTCAGAAACGTATTTTGCTGAGTGACTCCAGCACGCACTTAGCAGCAGCGGACCCAGCCATGGAGGCCAGGACGTGGCACCTATACACACGAATACCATAGACTAAGGAGATTGCACCGAAACTCTGGGCCGCAGTTCTGTGACACGGTGACTTCTAGAGTCACCCAAACGATACCCAGCCCCAGTAGAGCAACTCTACAAAACTCTACGACCACTGCGAGTTCTCTTCTGGTGGCCTCGTCTCCATAGGATCACGTCTGGTAAACAGACTTTCTCCGCCCCACAGACTGCCGCAGTAAAGGCAAAATCATATATGCGTGAGCCTACCCTACGTGAGCCTAGCTCAGCAGTGTGCTTTTGTTTGTAAGAGGGCTCGTGCATAAGAGGCACTTTCTAAAGCCACGCGCTCGTGCCCATGCCTCTGCCTTCACTGCAGACGCCTGTAAGATTGATATAGAAATACCCAGTCGTTTTCTCGAGGTCTGGGCCGGTTTGCTGGTAAATAGGTGTATCGTTTCCGCTGGTTTTAAAAGCCGCAAGTAGAATTTAGAAGTCACGTGACCGGCTCTGCGGGGACTAGAAAACCAAAGGTACTCTGGTAATCGTATTTGTGTACTTTAAAACCGGTATGAAGAGTTTTTTTGTTTGTTTTTTTTCTTTGTGGAAAAATTGGTTTTAGCGAAAATTAAAGAAAACGACAGGCACGGTTGCGTCTGCTAAACGGAATCGGCTGGAACGCCAGGTACTTCCTCTCCAAGAAGCAGGCGACGTGATTACAGAACCCTTCTTGCCTACAATCCAAAGTAAACCGGCCCTGATGGTGTCCACACACACAAGAACGTGTCATCATATCCGTTGCTTTCATCCCAGTCTATGGTATTTAGTGTGCACCCTGCTCGGAAAGGCAAGAACACGAAGCATAAAACCAGCAGCAAATCATTTTGACAACCCCTCTCCCTCTTCGCGTGCCATAGCAAAATACACGTACAAATCGAACACATACCAGAATACAAGTACGACAGAAATCAACAGGATTGACTTATAAATAATTACGTGCAGAAACAAATCACACTCGGTGTTCACCCGAAAGGTTATTTGCATTGCGTCCCTTTTTGCAGAACACTACATGCCATTCTCATACGAGGCGCGTGAGGACTGCTACCTACGCGTCATTATTGTCCATTCTGCACACGTGTATTAGCCACGCCACGTGTAAAGCACATCGAGTTTATAACGACATCGCATCGCTCTACACCTTATTTACACATATATGAGTAACTGTACATTGTTTGGTTCGTGGTTTGCATAAGAGGGAAGTGGACAGCTGAAGCGGTCCGCAAAGACGAAGCTCTTTATCATGTACATATAAACGGAGTTTCCAGTTGAATGTGCACGCTTAAAAGGTGTAGCGCTAAACGTACACCGAATAGAACGTTTTAGCTTGGCGTTGACGTAGTACCGCTACCGTTACCACCGTACTCGGACCGGTGTTGAATCGTAAACGAAATGTGACACCAATAGAGAGTTTTAGGAAACCCTTGTTCCACATCCGATGCAGTACGATGGGCAATCGTACAAACTGCACATGTGCGAGACTTCTGCAGTAGGCGCAGTCCGTACCGGAGGGCCCGTCGCTCTGTATCGAATGGGAAAGAAACGGTTCCCTAAGACTCCCTCATAACTGCCACCTTCCCTATCCTATTTCTGTTTCAGCAGCAAAGTATAAGTTGACGTTGGACTAAGACGTTTACATCTGGCTCCGGCAGAGAGATCCAGATGACCGTACTACGATAGAGCTATGCTAAGACGTTCTATTATTTCTTGGTGTAGACGTAGAACCAAATAGGCACCGAAAGTTTGACTGGAGTGTTCGGCGTTTATTTTGATTTTACTCCTGGCGAATCAACGTAGGAGGTAGTTATTTTAGTGTGTAATGTAGTGCTGCTATTTCTCTAAATTTCGCACACCACTGCTCGTTTCTTATCACAGTTTTTTCTACTAGTTTTGTTCCTCGTAGTTAAATGTCCGCCTATTTATGACGCCGATCGGTGTAAAACAAAATGAACGCCGAAAAACTGAAAACAATCTACATCAATTAAGTGTCACGTGAAAAACCAGACGACAAGTGACACGAAGCTTATGTGCACGAAATTGTCTCTGTCAGCGTTTTCCTTTTGCGCAGGCAAACACTATTGGTGAAGGTATTTGGCTCTCCTGTTTCGATGTTCGCTGCTTTTCCGGACTTGCCACAATTCGAGAGCGATTCTTTAGAAAAACGGTATTTGTGTTCCCCGTAGAATTTTGGTGTTGCAGTTTACTTAGATTACAGGCCAGTTTTGGAGTGTATAAAGTCTTACGACACATTGGTTTTATTGTGGAAATAAATTAACGTAGTCATGCGGGAGATGCAGATTCAATAGGCTCGAAAATGTTCTTCTGTGAAACCTAGAAAGACCTGTCCGGAATAACAAAGGAGTCTCTATGTTTGATTTGTAAGGAGACTCGAAATATAAAGCACCAAAAAGCTTTTTCCAACGGATTTTTTTGGAGTGCCCAAGCCCCACACCGGTGACGCTAAAGATTAATGCTCTAAATCGAGCGGTGTAGGCGATGTCACCTTGGCACATCAGTCAAGATTTGTTATTCACCGAGTCCACGGAGTCCGCTCTGCGCAAGATCGTTGTAGTATTCGTTGAGACGGACATAGGTAGATGACAGATTGGAAGCCGTCGCGGGAACATTCGCCTTGCACACCGGGGAGACATTGAGACTTGGGCCGCTCTTGGACGGACCAACCTGCGATCGGTCGTGCAGTCGCTCTGCCGGACGCAAAGTTCCACGGAAGCACGCATGAAGTAGCACACAGCATGGATTCATACACACCGTATCTAGCGATGCCATGCAAGAGGCACATTTGTGAGAGCATTGTGGAAACCTTGGCAGGGTGATGGCTTCGGGACTTCCTGTTTTCCCTCTTCACGACCAGATGGCGTTGGAGCCTGATTTTGGGCACTGATGAAGGTTGGCCCTAAGGTCGCCGGTCACGGTAGCTCGAATATATTTTGGACCACTCCATCAGAGATCGGATCACTTGAGAATTTAGTGTCTACTTGGCAAGCATACGGAAAGTCTGATCACGTCTTCTTGGTGCATGTCGAATTCCTGGTGCGAGTTGTATCTCTCACTCTCGGGGAATTGTTGCGGACGCCAAGCTCTCTCCGATGACTCCATCAAAGAACCTTCGTTTCAAAGTTACGGTAGAAACTAAGATGACAAAAGAGGCAGATTTTCCGCATCGGAGTGATTTTTATGGTGTGACAAGTCATTGATGAAGCCTAACCTTGAAGACTGTATGTAGGTGACGTGCAGCACACCACGAACCCATCTGTTGAATAATCTGTCTCTTGTAGCTTCGGTAGCAGGCGTATTGCGGGTACGAACGCAGTGGACCCGCGCCTAGAGTCCACAGTTTCGAAGCTCTTCTTGTAGTCCTTGTTGATGCTACGGCGAATGAGCAGCACCCTGAGTTGCCAGCAAGACGAAGCTCTCGAACGAATACTTGGCCTTGGCTTTCAGGGCGGAGCCGAGGCCTAGGACACGGCGCAACTGTTTCTCTTGAGCAGTGTCTTGTCCTTGATGCTAGGACTGGTTGGGTAGACGGGCAAGGAACGCCTCCTCTTGTTCACTGCGGCCGTGTTCAGTTCGTAAGGGATCTTGGCTTGCACCAAGAGCTCCTTGAATATAGACAAGATGTTCACGTTGTCCTTGGCAGACGCCTCCACGAAGCCATGCTCCCAGTCTATGGAGATCATGGTTTCGGCAACTTCACGACGAACCCGTCTCCTGCGAGAACAAAAACGTGTATTATGGACATGTTATAAAAACAAAATCTGTGCCTGCCCTTTTCACGTTGCTTGTCCAAGTACGCTATTTCTAAATGAGATTTTTGAACACAAACTGAAAATAACAGTGCCTATGCACAAACGCACGGCTCTGACGTGATGCCACTGCGATGGCACTGATGTCGGTGTGGCGCATGCGCAAGACGCTTCACTCCATTCCAGTTTGGTTTCTACTCAATCAGAGTGCCTCACCCCGTGTGGGCAAACGCAGACTTGATCATAGAGAGAATGCTGGTGTACAGCAGCACACGTGCGCACATAAACCTGTGGCGCGGTACACGTGCGTTCCAAGCGCCGATATAAAAGCTTGAAAACGCCGCCGCGTCAGAGTTTTCTGGGAACCACGAGGCCACCGCCGTAGTTGCGCTCTCCGGTTCGTCATCTTCTGATACCGGCTTCCAGGATTCCAAAGCGAAAGTACCAAGTAGAAATAATAAAATAATGCATTCCTTTGCGGCATCTTGACATATTTTACGTCGTGTTCCACGATTGCTAATTCCTTACTCAATGTTTTCAGCGAAACCCACAGGTCCGTAGTAATAAACGTCTTAGCGCTACACGCACAAAGTCATAATAACGCAGAATGTGTTTTTGCTCAGTCCGTAGATTTGTGAGTAGGCGTGTTAATGCTCGTTAGTTTTCTTTAAAGCCGGGGTCAAACTGCTTATACATCTTACAAAAGACAGTCTGCAAACAGATTCGAACGCGAGTCATCGCGAGATCCGTGCTTCAAATGCCACATGGTAACGAGTTCGAGGAGAAGCTTGGCACGCGGCATTCGAACTGCGCGGATATCGCGGTGACTGATGTGTCGCACACTGTTTTTTGTCTGATGTATAAGAAATGTGACCCCGGCTTTAGGGTTGTGCGCACAGAAACTCACATACACACATGTATAAGGGCGGAACAATATACCGTCTTTTTTCCCGCTAAACGCAGCTCAAAGCCTTCCGCGCCAACTTCTAGCAGTTTGCGCTTCTTCACGACGAACGTAACACGGCGAAAGTCCAAAACAAACTCAGATACTGCGCTAAAAAAAAAAAAAATTATGTTTAGTTTTACACAACCGCAGACTCGCCTCCTGGATACCAGTTAGGCCGTGGTGCTGGAGTCTCCACGTCACCTACCGAAGGACACCGAGGGGCCATAAATCGGACACCTGCTGTGTCATCGTTAGGCTGGGGCTCATGTTTGGTGACGTTCAAAACCAGCCAACACGGCCTTTTCATATCTTAAGTCGCAGCCACACTACAGATACATCATACAAAAAACAGTCTTCAGACACCGTCTTGAGGCTTGTTTTGTCCTTTTACGATGGCCTTAATTGTCACATTGGTTATACAAACAACAAAAAAAAAAGCTTTTCGTTGACACCAGGAGAAAACATGCCACAAACATACAGTCGAGACGTGCCCTCAGCTAAGCTCAGTCATAATGACCGCAGGAGAACAGGGCGTCTTTTGTGTGGCGTATCCGTCGATGACGCCGGACACATACCTGGCCGAAAGGTCACACTTGTTGCCGACCACGACAACCGGAGCCTGGGCGGAGCGGAGCTCGACGATCTGGTCGTGGATGCACCTCGCCTCCTCGAACGAGTCCGAGTCGTCGATGGCGTACACGAGCACGAAGGCGTCGGCCGTCGAGATGGCCAGCCTCCGCATGGCGGGAAAAGGGTAGCTCCCGCTCGTGTCCACGATGTCCAGCGTCAGCGAGGCCCCGTTCAACTCGTACTCGCCCGTGTGGAACTGCGCACGGGCCAGAAGGGGCCGCCATTAGAGGGACCGTGAAATCGCGCTCCCCTATGTGCCGGGGTGGAGAATAGAGGTATAGATCATTTAACCCGGGATTTAAATCACACCAGTTTTACTACGATCATTTAAATGGAAGCTGAAGAGGGTCTTAAGAAGAAAAAAAAACTAGTTGGATGCGAATTCTAGAGTAGTTTTATTCCTTGCATTTGAAAAATCACTTTCGTTTTCATCGAAGATGAAAGCGAGAAAAGACGAAAAACCTCCGTCCAGTCCGAGGTTTTTTCTCTTTTTCTGGCCTTTTGAAAATAGATCTTTTCTGACCTTTTGAAAATAGCGCGTGTGGGCAGCGCGTGTAATTGAAAGCTCCGGCACCAGATGGGGACGACTTTTTCTGTTCTTTTCTGAAAATAGCGAGAGTGGACAGCTTTGATTGGCGCTGAAGATACGCAAGAGGGGAGATTCCGAAAACTCCTTTTATTACGTAATGCTCCGGGAAGAAGCGGCTTCATATGTACTTTCAAAATGATTTTCTCCAGCCTCCGTTCCCCAAATGAAAAAAAAATAATAATAATAATTTCGATTTTCGTGATTTTTAAGGCAAAATGAAGACAATTTAAGTGTTTTTATTCAAACGTAGAACCGTTTCAGATCCCCTTTATATCGAACCTGTCCCGCAAAAATTAATTATTCCCCAAAAATATTTTTAAAGCATGAAATACTTTTTAACGTTACCCCTTAATTACAAAAGTTTTTCGTCCGTCCGTTCGTTCGTCTGTACGTGCATTTTCTGCTAAGTTTAGCGCAAAGAGTGGAGTCACGTAACGTCACGTGACCTATACACCTTGGAAAAATTGACGCCAGGTCAAATTTTCTAAAGAAAATTCACGTCTCGTGGCCAAAACATCAATTCAGTTTTGCCGCTAAATTTAGCGGTAAATGGACTTCACGTGACATAGGCACCTATTTACATACCCGCTAAGTTTAACGGGAAAATTCACGTCTCGTAAACCAGGCACAAATCCAGTTTCCGCGCTAAATTTAGCGGGGCAAATCGACGTCACGGGATCTCTGGAGTTCTCACCTCCTCGACGGTGGCGAAGTAGTCCACGGGGAACTCGTCGTACAGAAACTGGTGCACGATGGCCGTCTTGCCGACGCGTGCTCCGCCCAGCACAACCAGCTTGTACTGGTCCTTGACCGTCTGGCCCGCCTGGTCCTCCTGGGGACCGATGGCCGACAGCGGCGCCACCTGGCCCCCCGTGCTGGGCATGGCGCTGCGGGCGGGACCCCGCTCACGGGCAACGGGGAGGCACTGCGGGGACGAAATCAAAGAGGACGCCTGTAATTTTCTGAGACGGCATGACGCGCCTATTTTTTTCTTTTGTTAAGAGAATTTGTTTTAAAGACCGACGACCAGTTCGCGCTTTCCACGTTTCCCCACGCTTCCTCCACTCCCCCCTTCTACCCCGCCCACCGTTGCCTGTTTCCTCCTCCCCGATGGTGAGGAGGACCTTCTGCCTCTCAGAATCTCGAGTCCGGTCTTCGGCCTTTCACGAAAAGCCAACTTGAGACTCGGATCCCACCGCCGTATACCGTTCCGCCGTTAACTAAATTTAGCGGGCTAACGTCCTGCGAAATTCAGCGCTACGCCACTATGGGTCACGATTAAGACTGCAGTTCTCATTCTCCCTCCCCCTCCCCTCCCTAGAGGGTGAAGCCATTTAATCATTAAGTGTCAGCATTATTCAATACGCTGTTTATAGGTGCGATACGTGAAACCGATGAACGTTTTCCAGGCTACACAAGGTATAACTCTCAACAAAGGACGGCTCCACTCAGTTCCAAGTAGGTAGCGGTGTCTATACTTTCTTTTTTATTACAAAGGAGTGGCAGCGAGAAGCTCTAGTTTACAAGCGAGACCGTGTCATGAACGTATCTCAGTTCACGCAAAATTATCGGCGCACGCCGCTGAAGCAGCAAGCGAAAACACCTGGCTAGACAAGTAAAAGGCAGCTGCAGATGCTAGACGTAAACGTTATTCGCCATCATAAGGCTTGTTTATATATATATATATATATATATATATATATATATATATATATATATATATATATATATATATATATATATATCAACTAGTTTGCGTCTTCATTTATGAAGGACTAATTGCGCCTGTGGAAAACTTTTTTTTCCCTATTTTACGTTTACAGCTTCGTGTTGTGAGCGTTAAGTGCTGCGATTTTTTGTACACACTAGGGAATAAAGTGCTTCCTAGTACTTCGATATCTTCGTAAATTTGGCACTTAGTATTTTTTTGGTTGTAATTGTTTCCAGATAATTGACTAAGCGCTTCATCATACAAAAGATTTCACTCGTATGGCCAATTTCATCGCAATCGTAATTTGTGAACATGATTTGCTATATATGCTTATTTATTACTCCCGACTAAAACGCAAAATTATAATGGATTGGATTGCGGCCGCCTGTTTCGTGTTCTTGCCCCGGTATACACCAAAGCGAAACAGAACGGTGTAATTACTACAGCGCGTGTTAAACGACTAGCAAGTATTTCACGTGAACATAAAAAAATTTTTTTTTTTTTTTTGGTGGTGGTTGGGGGGGGGGGGGGGGGGAGAAGCATAATGAGATATTCTGCGATGCTTCCCAGCATTTAAAAGGGAAAAAAACATATTTAAGCGGCGGATTGCCGTGGCACTTGCCCGTAATGGTCCATCTATTTTCGAAATACCATCTGTAAACAATTTCGCTGGCGAATATTCTAATATGATGCTATTATCTACCGTAATAAACCGAAACGCGAAATATCTCTAAAAACCGCATAGCAACCGAAACAAATTATCATCGCTGTTTCGTTTTGACACCGAATAGGCGTCACTTTTCTTTGTATCGAACATCAAACAACAGGTATGCATGCAGGTGTACAGAAAAAAAGAAAAAAAATGGGCCGATATCGCTGCTTCCGCTACGCAGATTCTCGAAGAAAGGCGTTAGCATTTCGCACAGCGGTTACATAAAACACAGCATGGTGAATGCAGTCTTTCAGCACTTTTCGTCACGAGGTGAACATTCCCGAAATCCTTCTTCTCCCTGGTACAAGCGGGTCAGGTCACTTAGCGCGTGCACGAAGGGCGGCGCCCGCACAGGATTTGCTGGTTAAAGAGAGCGACGGCGTGGTGTAACACCTAGCAACCGAGGTGCAGTGGGGATGCGGGTCGGGGCGGGCCAAGGTGCCTTGATAATCTCTAACGTGCCATCCGCAGACTGTCGCCCCGAAGCAGCGTGTACGGGGGAAGCCTGGGTGGGTTAACGCACGCCCCAGTGATGCACCCGCTGTCTCCCACTGCTCGGCGCCGAAATGGGCGAAGGGGGTCGTCGCCGGCGATCTTCCGTTGCTAAGTGTTATGTCGCGGCATCGCTTCCTTTAACCAGCCAATCCGCTGCGGCCTCCGTTGCCATGCGTCCCATCGCCAAGCCTCTCGAGATATGCACCCCGTCGCCATCTGCCGGCGCTTGCAGAAGGTGTTTCCTAGCCAGTTTCCACAGCCAGAGAGGCTGCGGCGCCATCCCGTGGCGACGTCGCGAACTTTATATACGTGGGCTCCAAACTAGTCTAAGGTCAGCGCACGTACCAAGGCATTAATGCTAACGCATAAAAAAAACGGGTATCATCCAGCACAATGTTCACGAAATATAGCGAAACAACTAACAACATGCTCCAGAGATCTTCTGAGAGACCGTTATACCAAGTACTTTGCAATCATCACACTCCGTGCAAATGCAATAACCTTTGCGCAGGAACAATCCCCCCCCCCCCCCCCCCCCCGCCCCCCTCCTCTGACTTGCGGGAGGTAGCTGCCGCCATCTATCGTTGTAAACTCTCGAGCGCCAGACGAAACAGACGTCTCTGCTGTCTTCGCAGGCCCGGTATCTCGGTGCGCCGGCGGCCGCCCTGTCCCTCAGCAAGGAGAGCGCGGTGCGCGTGCGTTCTCTCTGACGCGGCGTATCTTCACCGCCAGGGGAGGATTCGGTACTCTGGCCGCGGTGTCTAATGCAAATGGGGCGTGCCCTATTGACTTACAATTTGGTTTTTTGCTTCAGAAACCGCTCACTAAAGGCCTGTTCACACATGCAGCGGAGCGGTACAAGCATAGCGCTTACCTCGCGCTAAGCGCGTGCTGACGGGAGCATTCACCAGCTTTGTATCGCACCGTCAAAACTGTTGCTCATGGCAGACGATAAGTAGCTGACGGCACGTGAGGAGCGCTACATCAGCGCTTCGCTGCATGTGAGAACCGGCCTTTAGTGGTCTGGTCTGTGTCCATTTTCTCGATAGACGCCCCTTGCTTGCAAAATCTCTCGCACAATCTGCGTCATCGCCTCACCAGGCCTAGCTATGCAACCACTTTCTGGGAGTGCCTCTCACCAACGCCTGGAAGCTGCTTTTAGCGCTCTCAACGACTGAGCAATGGCGTCCTAGCGGGATTTTTTTACGTCACCGAAGGGGTCGATTAGCAAAAAGAGGCCGTACTTGGAACGAAGTTGAAATATATTGAACATGATCATTTTGTATCCATTCTGTATTATTCTGTCCACATTCAAAATACGCGCGTGAGGTATTCAAAATTTATCATAAATATTAATCAGAAAAGATCTTAGATATACTAAAAATATAATTCCTTCCCCCTCAAGATGCCGTTTGTGTATTAAAAACCGGCTACACAAATTATTTTATTTTTTTTTAATTTGGATTTTGTTAGTAAATGGTGCCCCTGTGGTATTTGAAGAACTACTAATTTAAATGCCCCCCCCCTCCATCTCAAAACTACACATTAGAAACGAACACAAACAAAAACACCATGAAACACTGAACACCTGAATTATAGTACTGTTGACTGCTCTAGAGCCTCATATAGCCTTCATATTGAAGGTAATCATTTGGCCGGTGACCACCTTTGCACTTATTAAGGTTTCAAGTATTCGATCTTCTCCGCGAGAGTCTGTCAAAGGGAAAACAGTGTTTTTGTAGTTCTTAGACGATATCTCTTACTAAAAGCATGGGTAAAACTAATAATAATTCGCCGCAGTCGCTAGAACAATATCCACGAAAACGGCTCCCAGAAGAAATGTCATTGCTTCTCTGCATAGCACCACTCAGGAAGAAGCGAGTCAATGCAGTTTCTTCACTTTCAAATTGCTATTTTCCTTTTCTTTACTAGTTGAATATTTAATATGGTTATTAATGTCATTATATTAAAGTCACTACTCACATCACGTACAATGGTGAGTATGCACATTCAGTGAACTAACACTGTGATAGCACAACTGATAAGTATACCAGCAGCCTGGTCGTACGACGCGTGAGAACCGAACCCTATCAGACGCCGGTCAATCGCGGCCTTACGCAAATGCACACGACGCAATGATTGACCGCTGACTGATCGTGTTCGGCCTCGCTTCTAGCACACTACACGACCAGTCTGACTTTTCGTCGCGTGTGGGTATGACCTGACCGAGCCACAGTACATATTACTTGTTCGGGGGAATGAAAAAAAAAACATGCGATGGCGCCATTTGAAAATGTCCAACAGAGCAGCGCGATTAAAGATGTAACTTTACAGCAGCTGCGCGGTACCACCGATGGTCCAAGGCCTTTAATGTGCACGACGCGCTAGTGATACGCGACCGCACGCCGGTACATACGATGCTCATCGAGTCGAAATGGGCGGAGTTTAGTATTGAACCCAGAATGCCCGGGGCTCCGCATGCGCGACCTAAACTTCCCTCAACCTAGACCACAACCTCGCTGAGAATTAAAACAAATACTTTTAAAAAAACCTCGCTTCCGTGCCATGTTCAGAAAATAATCTGCGACGAGAGCCGAGACGCAGCCCGCAATCACACTGCACAGTACCCGTGACGTCACAGTGTCGAGTGACGTCATAGCGTCACGTGACGTCACAGTCTCAAGTGACGTCACTCTGTACGTCGCAGTGATCTCTACACTTAACTGAGAAGTTTTACAGTCAGGACGGGCAAGAGGGAACTGCCGCGGCAATACCTTGTCAACAACAACGCCGTAAAAGAAGAGACAAAGCGCAAAAAACTTTTAAGTGTTGGTTTGTCTATTTGTGACCCGACAAATCCACTTCGCGTCAACGCATTAACCCTTTTTTTTTTTTTTTTTTTTTGCTTGTTTTTGCGATTGCGGGGACCGGGAAATTAGCGAAAGTGGTAGTGCGCAATGTAGGC